ATTTTTTGATAAAATAACATGTTATCTTTTTCGAGGATTGGATTTTATTTTTTCCGCAAATAGATGTCATATTAAGAGATTAAATCTGCCTCTTGTCCCTGAAGATTATTTCATTGACCTCTCCACTGATCAGCTGCAGCTGGTAATTTCAACTTTCCAAGATTCCAATTAAACGCTTCAAATAATATTTTAATTTCAGAGAAAGCAATTTTCGTCAATTGTACAATCAACCGCTTTCTATAGATTGGTCGTTTTTGAGAAATTCAAAAGTGATAAATTTTATCTCTATCTAATGATACTTTTCTGTAAAATTTGTTACTGCACTCACCTCACTGTTTTTGCTTTTGGAAAATCACTTTAGATTCTTCAGTCACTTGCGTGATTTTTTGCTGATCAATAATTTTAGTTTTAAATTTTAGCGGACGAAATTAAATTACTCACTTGAATAGTAAAGACATATTCTTGCAATAATTATAATTAAATCTAGTTTTTCTTTTGATATTTAAAAACAAATCAAGGATAATATCGTGTTAAAGCATTCCTTATTAATTAACAAAAATTTTTACTATTAGCTAATGTGTTTTAATCTATGCTCTGTGAAAATTAATAATCTCGTGTACGGCAAAAATAAGAACAAACAGATCGGTATCAAAGAAAATGCATGTACCGGTTTAGACCGGATATTGCATGACATTATCATGGCGTCCTTTCTGCAATATTTCAGTTGAAACAGCCTTAAAAATGTGCTTTCCAGCTTTTTAGATAACGCCGTTCTTTCCTCTTGAATCTGATGTTAATAATAGATGACGAAGATAAAGCAAAATTTAATTATAGGTTCAGCATTTCTATTAAAAATTACATTGACTTACGCATTGTAATTAATTCGATTTTAATTCTTTTCGTTTTTGTCGCTAATAGCTGACGACAGTTTAATGTACGAGAATTTATAAATCAAAAATCACTTATTTGTTATCGTTATTTCAGGTACCATTTTGTGTGACTCTAGTACATGGACAAATTAACAGAAATTAGCGGAATCTGGTGTGTCGAGAAAATATTCTGTTAAGTATTATTCTTTAATTTTTACTTCGTGGGCGTAAGCAAAGGAAATATTGGAATGGAGTCCGTCGGCCGACTCTCTATTTTTACGTTTTGTCGACCTTTCATGACCCCGAGAGTACGAAGAAATAGGTCTCCCGTTTCCGTCTGTCTGTCCGTCTGTCTGCCGTCCCGGATTTTTATTAGACAGACAATCAACGAAAGTACTGGGTCGATTTTTGTCAAATTTTGTATTTATATTAAATTTTAAATTCAATAACGAATATTTATTTTAAAATAAGTTTCAAAAACAATTTCTTCAGAAGAGTTTCGCCTCTAGTATGGTTGATATACTGAGTTACCGTGGTCTTTTGCCTTTTTCCTAATTTCTCAACCCTGCTCCTGAAATGCCACTTTTTAATTTTATAAAATAACATATTCCTCCACTTGCAGTTTATCTATCCGTGTTGACTTTTTACCATATGCATCCAGATTTTTGGGGAAAAGAAAATAAAAAGCTGTATAATAAAACTTTACAATTTAACTTTAAAATTGAAAAACCAAATGCTCTGAAAATTTCCTAATGTTTTATGGTTATTGGAAATATGACAAATTGTTAATCAAAATTTATGCGCCCCTAAAACTGATGACGTCATCTCAAAATTTTGTCAAATAAAATGTGCAAAATTTGAGTTTATACTTGTGATTTATCGTTTCATTAATATTTTTTAGAACTGTTTACACATACAGGGTGACTAAAAAAATAATGAATGAGTCAATTTATTTTATTGATCAAATCAGAAAGCGCAAAGCAGAATGGTTTGAAATGAAGGTATCGTAAGCATGGTAAATTTCTTATTAAAATATATCTGTTTATCCCCTTCAAAAAACTGATGGCGCCATCTCAAAATTTTGCTGAATAAACCCTATCAAAAATGTGCAAAATATGATGAGTATTGATGAGTCTATACTAATTTTTTACAGTTTCTTATATAGGGTGACTCAAAAAATTTAATGAACGAGTCAATTTATTTTACTGATTAAATCAAAAACTGCAGAAACGAATGCTTTAACATCTTACAGACGTTTTAAAGTTGTCGTAAACATGGGAAATTTGTATTCAAAATACATCTATTTATCACCTCCAAAAAATTGATGACATCATCTCAAAATTTTACCAAACAAATGGGATATGTGCAAAATATGATGATTGTAATTATTAAATCAGGAATGGCGCTCTCTGTTTTCCCGAAAAATTGTAAACACATTGTATTATTAGTATTACACTACACCTATCCAAATTAATATACTTGTCCTTGCAAACATTATGATGACATCATTACAAAATTTTGTATAGGAATGAATATATTATATATAAATTAAATCAGCAAAAGGAGGCAAGTCTGTAGAAATAACGTTTGATCAATTTTTTACCCCAGGCATACAATTTTTTTGCAAAAAATCCAAACTGAATAACAACCTTTTCATTGTCTGGTTTTGTTTTTGTTCCGATAAAAGAATTTTTTTTATGTTTAAGATTAATGTCCTGTATTTATCCGTTACTTAAAAGCGTGTATTTTATGAAAATTTCTACCTAGTGGAAGAATTATCGATAAATAAGTTCATATACATATGTGGTTGTTACACTGGTGAATTTTTATATGCAATACCGTAAGTTATGACGAATATTTTTGTGGTGGTATCACGAATGTAGCTTAACCTAAAACTGTAATACGTCAAATATCACAATAATAGCAACACCTAACTTTGGCATCAAAAGTCAAATTTCAAACTGAGGTTGACAGTCTATCAGTAGTACATGCATGGCTTACTAGAGCTCAAACATTAATGTAAGTTTTTATTTTTTTTTTACCCTACGGGCTTAAAAGATTCTTGACACTACAATTTTTTCCCTAGTTAACAAAAACCAAATAAATACATTTTATAAACTAAATAACTAATTTTTCTTTCCTTTACCCCATCCCCCCTTGCCCCAGCCTTACTCTTGTCCTCTCTACTTCTGAGCTCAAACATTAATGAAAGCCATGTATTTATAAAATAATATCAAGGCTGATTTATTTTCAAAATATTAGAATATAGTCATCTGAAATGTGCTAAATAAACATTTTTAGTATTTAATTTATCCCAGAGTATGTTTAAACAAGAATGAATGTTACACTGTGTACATAAGCGTCTGTTGTTAATCGTTGTGTTCCTCAAAAACTTCATGTCGGACATGCATTTAGCATTTCTTGTGCTTTAAGGGCGAGGTAAGTTTTATTCAAATAAGTTCGTGTGAAACTTTGTGAAAAAATATGTAATTTTTTCCGAGCAATTTTAATAAAACGAAAGTTGGTCGCAACGTCAACGAAACGTAGTAATAAATTAACAAGTTAGTACGAATTGTACATCGTACAAATGTTATCGACGACAGCTTCTGTTTTATTCAAATGTTTCAACGGTGGAGGTGTTTCCGTGTATTTTATAATATATGTGTTAATTTTAGAAAGAAATTTATAGCTTACAATTGAATGTTACGTGGTACACATTGGGGACGTGTTTTCCGAGAATATTTTATCGCTTGATGACTGGACGTTTAAATAATGTGGGGGACAGGTTACAGCTGACCATTCCTAGGTGGCAAAGTTTGCCTAAAAATGGACCAAACTCTTAAAATCAACCAAAAACGCGAAATTAGCAAAGACAATAATTGTGATGTTTGCATTTACTAATTGTGCTAATTTCCAACCACCTAGCAACATGAGGGACTGTCAGCCCTATAAAAAATAACAAAAAACTGTCTTGTCGTGTACAGTAACAGAGAAATATGTTGTTCGTTGATAAAAAATGTTATATTCTTCAAATACCGTGCTGAAATACAACGTAAATAAGTTTCATCATATATTAAACGTAAAAAGGTTGTGTAGCGTAAAAAACGACGACAAATTTTTGTATGTTTCTTTCCCTTTTAATGAAGCGAGCAGCCGTTTTTAAAATTAAATGTTGATTAGGAAAAGAAAAAAGCGAACGAGAGATAAGACATCAAACTTTAGACATTCGTTAATTTTAATAAAAAAGAAATCATGCTGCCTGCTGCTTTTAGGTTAATTACGTTGTGTAAAATGTTTAGCTGCAGTAATAATACAAGGATCTGGAAATAATATTTCTTATTGTGCCGCGTCTTTGCAGTTTCATAAAAGTTAATAGAAAAATACATCCCTTCTTGTCTTGAAACTTGAGATCCTCTGCTGTATGAGTAATGGAGCGTTATTAGGCTAAACCTCCCCTGATCATGACTGAAATTTCAACGTGCATTTAGATAAAAATACGGTTCCTAGGGCCCAAAGCAATTTGTCTATGGTTATTGTAGGAATTAATAACAGAGATATGCAGCTGCCGTGCGGATAAATACGAATATTTTTATGAATATGAGACCTGAGGGAGTTTCTGCTTGACACACTGCCATACTAGAGATAAAGAGGCCACTATTTAGCCTTAAATGCCACGATATTAAAGCGCGAAGCTCCGGAAAATTGTCTGTACTTATTACTTTACCTTATTACCGGCTACTTGGGACCCTTCTCGGTCCTATTTATTTGCCGCAATAAAATTAATTAAACCAACCCAACTTAAATTAAAAACAGTTTCAGGTTTCACTCCGCTAGTCTGAAAGCGTTGTTCATAAATTTGTGCTGTGTCGTCCTTTCGTCGTTAAATTGTGAATTAAAAGCATGTTACGCATGTGTCAAGTCAGTTCGACTCAGGAATTTGTTGAAGAGTTTTCTGCCAATATTGGGGTTTGTTTCCAGAATTATTCTCTTGTGTTTCTGAAGGACCGCTAGTCAATATTTCTCGAGTGTTTGCTCACTTATGCTTTGGAATTTTTGTTAACATTGACGACTTTGGAGACTCCTTATTGCTATCTAATACGTTTGTTTTTGTGTGTTGGATTTCTTACTTACTTATTTCCATTGAAGTGGCTAAAAGTATTGGGGGAAGCCACAGCAGTAAAAGGAGACGCCAATAATCGGCCAACATGGCGGCGGCCTGAAAATAAGAAAGAATTGTTAGGGTGTCTACTCAACTCCTAGTTACATTAAAATAATTCGATTTGGAGATATTTTACACTGAGCTACAATTCGGAGAGTTCTTCGGACGTTTAAAATAATTGTGCTATTTAGTTTATATGTATATTTGAAATAGACGAATAGTATATTTAAAATCAGATTAAGTACGCTTAAATAAGTTAGTTTAAATTATTTCTTAATAGAAATAAATGTTAAAAGAACTGCCGGGGTGTACATTTTTATTTTGATCTCTTACAAATTTAATTGTTTCAGGTAAATATAATTATTTAAATGTTAAACTGTTAAATGTTCTGTCCCATCGGATTTGGCAAATTTCACTTTAAGTTGATCAGTGATTATTTCATGAATTAGCTGTGTTGCTTTGGGTCGGTTGCATAATGAATTTGAAGACCCTTTAATATTTAAAGTGAGTTTTCGGCACAGAAGTACATTGTTCTAAACCAAAATGAATTAAAGGGACTTTAATGGCATGTTCATGTCAATATTGATCAAAATCAGAAAATTTCTAACGGTTAAAGTATTGATTTGTTGAGAAAAGACAATAATTAAATTGTGTAACATTTTCATTAGCATTGATTCATTAATAAAATTAACATTTACGTAAAATTTAATTTACCGTAGTCTACCTTATTATGCAAGTGGATTTAAAAGAATAGAAGATTATGGTTATCTTATTTACAAAGTTGAATAATGGTCTGTATTATATTTTTAACAAAGACATACGAAGTCTGTCCTAAATTAATTCTACATATCATTCGTATTAATTACAGTTATTCACTTGATTTATCTAGTCCAAAAAAAATGTACTTTACCATAAACCGATAAGAATATATTGTTGCAAATAATGAAAGTGTTTGTTTATATTTTTACACTGCAAAGTGTAAATAAACTGATGTAAAGATGACTTTTGGACGGAAATTTTATAAATCATAAAAAAAAGTATACAAAGCGACTAAAATTGAAATATGTTTACAACAAATATCACGTAGCCACTTTTTGTTGCGCAAATATTAGTTAGCAGAACTTACGAGTTGTTCCAAGGGTCGTTGATTTGGTGTTGATAAATATGCTACAACAATTTAATAATAAAAAACTATTTTATGCCGCCGAACTTGATAATAATTTGGTGATGACTAATTCAATACACGATAATGAATCTCCTCTAGTCATTCTATTCTAATAAACAACGCATGATACCCTTATCATGTTTATAAATTATTAAAAACAAAACTCTACGTCGTGAATGACTAATGGTAAGGCTATAATTAAATTAATATGATACATGTTAACAATATGGTAATTAAATTTAGTTTCAGTTTCATAAGTTTGTAATACCGTACGAATCGATATGTTATGTTTTAAAATTATTTTTTTCATTAGTGGATTAATGGATAAATCGTCTATAAACGTCTTTGTCTACTAGTTCTTAACTGGTTGTTTTTTCTAGAGTAGTTCAATTTTTCACGCCATGAGTTACAAAATAAACGGAAGGAAAAATAGTTTTTTTTGAACAATGATGTTCGTTTTTTCATTAACTATTAGTATTATCGGTGTTGGTAAAAATCTAGTGTTGCTTCCTCTTGAACTATCAAAACAAGCAATATACCCGATAATCGATCGGCATAAATAAATTCAGCAACATATCCAAGCAGTAATTACATGTGTACATTTAAAAGTTCTGAATTATATACAAGACACTGTTTCCAACGATCGTCGGCTATGATACGTGTTAATTCAGGAGGCTTCTTTAAATAATTATAAAATTAATTTGATTGTTACACACCCTTACACTATTACGTTACAATTATTTATAACACGTCGGTCTTTTAATTTGTTGTAGCTGTAACATCTCTTCACGTGAATGCACCAAATGTTAAACTGTCGTTAACATTTTGTGGCACGTGGTTATCGCAGAAACGAGAATTAATTTTAGACGAGAGTACTCAAGGATAATATTTTAGAATTCAATACGTTTTGCTTGCTTAGTTTTGCTGATGTTGATAAACAATGAGTGATATTTGGATTTGGCAAGCTATGCACATGACTTAGCTGATGCGAGGGTTCCTGACAAATAATACCTCCTGGGGCATAAATTCAAGATCAACATCTCTAAACAGGTAGTATCTATTCACGTTGTTGGTTTCACAATTTTGCATGCAATAAATATTGCAATTTTATGTTTTGAAATTGCAGTGAGGAAATGGGAAAATAAATTGCAGTAACATTACGAAGAGTTTTGCATTGTTTGTGGAGGTACGAACCTAAAAATATTTCAATTTTTGAAATAGAACTACTCCCACTTCATAAAATTTTAATTGAATTCCTCCTATTTAATGCAAACATGTTGAAATAATTATTTTTTACTAACTCAGGTTTTGGAAGAGCTTTTTATTCGTATAATTGGAATAAATATGGCTGTATTTTTTTAGTGCGGGGAACAAACAGGAAATGTTGAATTTTATCATGAAAACCTTTTAAGGTAAACACACAGCGAAATTATTCTTTATGTCCTTTAATCTTTTAAAAAATACGCTTCCCTTTTTCTTGCAGATTTGCTCAAAAACAGTTGATTAAATTTGGCAAGTACAGATTAATTTAAAAACCGTTCCTACACGGAAAAATAAACAAGCTCGGTAATTTATGTTTATGAGTTAAAATTTAACAAACGCAAAAGCAGTTACCGTTTTGATATATTTTTCATTGCAGCAAATTATTACGAGTAGCGACTTGTGTTTAAACTTCTTTATGCAGGAATGCTAAAGGCAAATAAAAGTATACATATTTGTGTGGTAATTTGTATTTAAATTACACGCGGTTATTTTCGATAAGCTAATAAGAAATTCTACGTGAAATAAAGCAATTTTAAGAATATTAGTGACTTACTTTGTTACGTGTGTTTGTTATTATTAAATTAAAACAAAGTTGTAAATTGATTTATTCAACTGATGTTGATATTTTGTTGCGTGGACATGCAATTTTTTACTTAAAAAAAATAATACAACAGTTTATTCAAGTTTTAAGGGCTAACGGTTTGTTAAAAGGAAAATCTTTAATCATACAGCCTGCACTTAGCTACATTATACTGCTGTCTATTTTGGTTACTGTGCTCCAGGCAACACTATGAATGGCGTTGGTTCGTGAAGTAGCAACGTGCGGTTTTTCACCTCAAGAGGAACAGCTGACGAGGGTCCAACTTCCTGAAAGCTATTTACAGTAAATACCAACTTTGTTATGATTATGAGGGTTTCCCTTGCTAAAAATTGGTTTACTGAGGACCTATTGTTCGTCATATTGCAACTATTTTGGACCAACTTTTGAATAGGATTATTCCCTTGTTAAAAATGGTGGAGGCGCCGGGTAACTTCGAGTATAAAATTATGTTTACAAATTTGTAAGACTCTATTAATCTCTGACAGCCCCAGAAGTGTTTACCTTCACATTGTACGAAATTAATGTAACGTGGTGTAATTCTCTTCCGCTGTGGACTTCTTGCTACTTCTTGGCTGTAAACGTTTTTATGTTTACTCCATTTTTCTCGAGACAAACATAAACACTGCACAAATATCTAGTCATCGATCGGTTTGCACCGTTGTTTCAAACGTCACAAAAACAAAGTAATTTGCGTCTATAAATTAGACATATATACATAATTATTCTATTTCATAAAATCCTTTGAGTTAGAAAGAGATAATAGAATACTACAGACGCTGCATTATCATGTTCATGTTCATGTTAATTTTGATTTTTAATCATATGTCACCGCCAGTTCGTGTTCTGGCGCATCCTTTTGCTTTTGTATCTGGATTTATGAAAACAATTCTTTTGAGTATAAATGAAGAGCTTTACCGTTAATTCATAATTTACCGTTTATTCCTGTTTTGTTTACTACAATAATTGAGGTGACAATATGTTGAGAAACTTTTGAAATTCGTGGATAGAAGATGATAGCTAATCTTATAAACTAATTTACCATTGGACAGGAAAACAGCGGATTTTTATTACCTTTAGATACTACAGAATAAATATGCAAAATTAATGTTATTTTTATTGTGGCATAACATTTTCTATGGAGTTGTTAATGACAACGGAATAATGAATTCGAACGCAGTTTATTATTAAAATGAAAATCTCTTGAACGCTTAGCGGGATTAAATATTGTTTAAATGTTTAAGTCAAAAATTCACTTCTACACCTACAGTTATATAGATCAAGAAATAACACAATCAATCAAACTTGGAAAGTACGTTATTTATTTCGTAAGATTTTATGAATTCGTGTATTATGGATTTAAGTTTCAGATATTTTTATATTTGGATGGTTATCGTATTAGACAAAGTACATAGCTCAAATTACCCTATTTCGAAAAATTTGATTATATTTTGTACTTCAGTGAGAAATCAACCCGAGTTCTCCGGTTGCCTTCTTGTATCTTAACAATTAATCTAGTTTTCCAAGATTGTGCCGAGAAAGCAACAAAAAAGATGATCACAAGCAGCTATAGACTTTTGAAAGTTTCATCGTTACATTTTCAACTCAAATTTTGAAATTGACTAGATGAAAATTCTATCAAAAAAATTTCCAAAAATCCACCACTATCTTTAATCGTGTTTTTTATTGTTCTCAGTGCGTCAAAAAACATTCAAAATTTTAAATTCTATATCCAACAGAAAGTCAGAAGTTTCAGATCAAAAGTTATTATTATTTAGTCTTATGTACGATTAAGGTAATAGTAAACATTATATAATAGATATATTATTGCAGTCACAGAGATACTAGCAACCTGTCGTATTATCAGTACATGTTTAACTTCGATTATTTATCTTGAATATTTGAAATTGAAAGAATGCGACTATTAAGCAAGTACAAAGATATCTCCTAAAAATGAAGCAAAGCGTTCTGAATATTATTTTAGGTAACTAGTTGTTATGCTGAATCGTTCTTGATTTGAATGATTTGATT